CAATGATGTAATCTATTCTAAATCAATTTTAATAAAATAAAACGTTAAAAAAACACACACACACAATCAAGTACTAGTAGTTAAGCAGAGTTTGGCATGATGATTAAAATAAAATTTGTTTTCGTGTAAGGCGACTTGACTAATTAACACTCCGTGGAATAAGTCAAACTTCGCTTCCAAAATGCTTAAAATCAAAAGAGAAGACAAAGTCAAAAAGACAGAAGCAACTCAGTTGTTTCTCAATCTCTGCCTCTCCTTCCCCAATCCATCGCTCTCCTTCACCACTCTCTGACTCTGAGAGTAAGCAATAATACTTCTTGAGCTCAAATCTTATCTCTCTTCTGGATCAAACATCGAGTGTTAGGTACTTACTTGCGTCTCTCTTTTCTCTCCGATCCAATCCCACTTTCAATTCCTGTCTCTGGTAACGAAATATCTTGTCTTCACTCTCCTAAAGGTCAAACTTTTCTTCTTCAGGTCAAGCGCACAATTCTTAAGATTCCGGCTTTTTTGGAGGGTTTTGCTCAAAACACCTGTTCTGGATCCAGCTTCGATCTAAAAAGTCAAAACTCTTTTGGGAATTTTCACTATCCATGTTTGTTGGACTCTTCTCCAAAACTATGGAAGACAAATCAAATTCAAGCAGGAACAGAACTAACACTCCTCCTCTTCAACAGATCCGTACCGACATGGGTTCTTTATACTCTGCTGATCTTACTGATTACAAGTCAGCTTGTAGAGAAGACCCAGATTTACAATCCTTCGATTCATCGCTTCACAATCGCACTAACCGAGTCATCAACTCGCTTGCCTCGGGTGCTGAAACTCGCTCTTTATCCTTTGACGCACTCATTGAAGTCTCGGGTTGCTTACTCGAGATGAACCAAGAAGTGGTTAGGTTTATAATCGAAAGCAGAGAAGATGTGTGGGATAACAAAGATTTAACATGTTTAGTGAATGCTTATTTCGATAGTAGCATCAAGACTTTAGATTTCTGTAATGCTGTTGATCATTGTGTGAAACGAGCTAGGATAGGCCAAATGATCATACAGTTTGCGGTTAAGCAGTTTGAGATCGAGTCATCGAGGAAAAAACCCGTGGAGCCGGGTACTAATAAGTACGCGAAAACGTTGGAAGAGCTTAACAAGTTTAAAGCTTCTGGTGATCCGTTTGATGGAGATTTCTTCATGTTGTTTGAGTCGGTTTACGAGCAGCAGGTTATGCTTTTGGAGATACTTCAT